TTAGGTGTCCTCTGTAAGTAGCTTTCTCCCTGGAGCCAGGAGTCTTGGGGTCAAGGGGTCTAGAGTCAGGGATCTTGGAAAACCTTCATGACAGTCCTGCTGAGTCTGCCCAGTCTACATCTGTAGATGTTTATGTTACCCGCAGTGCTGGACGACTCCAGAGAAGTAATTAACTCCTCAACCTTTACAAGGAGCACATACCTTAAGACCTGTGTAAGGCAGGGGTCTCTTGGAGATCCTAGGAAGAATAGAGGTAGCGAAAAAGCAGTCCTTTCTGGGGTCCCTTCAGTTTCCCTGTCTCAAAGGTACTCTCTCAAGGGGCAGAATGCTGTCGGATGTCACTTCTGCTTTAGTGTGGTCCCTTGTCTCCTGCTTGGATTATTGTCATAGGCTTCTTTGCTTTCATCATGCCAGCCCAGTCCAGATGTCACACCGTTGTAGGCATGTCACCTGTGTCCTCACGTAAGGACTTGCATTTAATTTAATGCTCTGCTTTTGCCATTTAGAGATTTTAAATGTTTTAAAAGGGAAGCTCCATATTTTCATTTTGCACTGGGCCCTGTAGATGAAGTAGCTGGTTTTGGCTGTGGGAATGGCATTTCTAAAACTATGTACTAGGAAAAAAAAAAATCAGAGTCGCTACTCCTTATCCTGCTTGTCTAGCTCGCTCGCACGCTCTCTCTCTCTCTCCTGCTATGCTAAAGTCCCTCCAGGTCCACCAGGCAGCACCTTGCTTCTGCATTATTGGCTCCTAGTGTTTCCTTCTCCTCATTTCCCCTACTCGACCTGGTTCATCTCTGTACATAGTTTAAAATGCTGATGAAATAAGACTGAATTGTGAAACCTGATGTGGCCATCTCAAGTAATACAGAATCATACCTTGTCTCCTATCTCCCTTGAAAAACTTGATACCTAGTAAAGTAGAGCCATATTTGATCTTGGGATCATGTTACTGTAATAGGTGTGTGGAAAGATGGGATTGATTTGTGTGTGGGGGGGTCACCCATCAACTTCAGAGTGTTCGTTCGTTCATTCATTCATTCATGCAACAAACTGTGATGAAGTATCTCATACATACCAGACTAGGTACTAAGTACTGAGTATATGGTATTGAATAGAGTATTTCATTTTTTCTAAATGAGCTAATAATATTCTGGTTGGGGGAGATAGAATTAAAAAATACATCAATATATAATAGGTATGATGTGGAGTTCTAGAAAACGGTGCAAAGTAGGGTAAGAGACTAGAGGATGATAGGGGAATGTGTTTGTCCCTGTGCTGTTTAGATAGGGTGGAAGGCCTGTTTGAGGTGATGTTTAATCAGAGATCTGAATGAAGTGAGGTCTTGATCGATGTGAAATTCTGGGGGAGGGATTTGAAAAGTCCCTACTTGAGCACATACATGTGATCATCCAAAAACTAGGAGGAGGCTGGTGTGGCTGGAGTAGAATGGGCAATGGAGAGAGAAGTAGGAGGTGGGGTCAGTGAATGAGGGCCTGATTACCCGGGGCCCTGTGGATCAAGGTGAGGATTTAGGCTTATACTCCCAATGAGAGGGGAAGCCACTGGAGGATTTCCGTTGGTCTGCATTTTAAAAAGGCTCACTGTAGGGGGCGCCTGGCTGACACAATTGGTGAAATATCCAAGTTTTGATCTCGGGGTTGTCAGTTCCAGCCCCACACTGGGTGTAGAGATTAGTAGAAAATAATAATTAAAAAAAATTTTTTTAAAGGCTCACTCTAGCTGTTCTATTTATGCCAAAGATCCATTTCAGATGCTACTGAGAAGTGGACCAAGCTAAGAATTGAGAATTGACTGTTCAAGTAATATGATTCTTTTGGTTGACTTATATGCAAAACACCACAAAAGCAGTCTTTTAATTTTGTAGCAGGTCGAGGATTGTTACAAGTAAAGGATCTACTTTGATCTTAGCTATGAGATCCTTTGTCTATTGAATTTTTGGCCAGTTGTCTGTTCTTCACTGTGTAAAGTGTTCTTCACTATGGTAAAGGACACTGTTTTCTCGCTTTGGAATATAACTCACTGCTTCGTTCTTTGAGCTCTGATTTTTCTTTTTTTTTAATTTTTAAAAATTTATGTGTTTATTTTTAGATTTTATTTATTTATTTGACACAGAGAGAGAGAGTACAAGTAGAGGGAGAAGGAGGAGCAGACTTTCTGCTGAGCAGGGGGCCTGATGTGGGGCTCGATCCCAGGACTCTGGGAACGTGGCCTGAGCTGAAGGTAGACACTTAACCGACTGAGCCACCCAGTCACCCTTTTGTTTATTTTTTATTCCTTAAAGATTTTATTTATTTGCTTTGAGAGAGAGAGAGAGAGTGAGAGGGAGAGAGAATCTGAAGCAATCTCTGCACTGAGCACAGAGACCAATGCAGGGCTCCATCCCACAGCCATGAGATCCTGATCTGAGCTGAAACCAAGAGTCAGACACTTAACAATCTGAGTCCCCCAGGCACCCCTGAGCTCTGATTTTGAGTAAGCTGTGCCCTCCTGTTAACCACCATGGCCATCTGGGACCATTGTTGACCTTTCTTTCCTCGTAGTAACCTCGTGTGCTCTGCCACCCTCCTCAGAGTTGGCGCGTTTGTTCCCAGCAGTGACTGTTGGCACTTTTATGTTTTAGTCTTTGTCTTGGAAGTAACAGATGCTGGAGAATTGTACTGGCGGGAACTTCCCGTTCAGTTTAGAAGGGAGAAGTCAAGAAAACCAACACAACTGGTGTTTGCTCTAAGGTGACATCTGAGGAGGGTAGTGTTACTGCCAGAGGCAAGAAATACCAGGGCAGGAGCGGGGTAGTAAGGGAAAGGACGATTTGGACACCTTGAGGTGTCAGAGGGAGTATGTATGGTGCCCTCTAGCAGATGCGAAGAGGCGTGAGGGGTGCCGCTGGCATACTGTTCTGCATTAGACTCCTCAGTCCAGACGCATCCGACTGTCATAAATCCTCATTGGAAGGGACCTTATACATCCACGTAGCCTCATCATCCCCCGCCAGTTTTCAGAATCCCTCCACAATAGCCTCTCTGAGGCAGCCTTTGAATCTCCATTCAGGCATTTCTTAGACAACCTTTTCCATTTATAATCCCCATAACTAGCCCTGATGAAAGCCCCAGGGATTGAGTGAGGTAATGACTTTTCAGGTGTCAGGTGTTAGGTATGAGCAAATTGTCGTCATGTCCTTATGAGTCTTTTCCAAATAAGATGTTTCCTGCTCTTTCACTGTCTCCTCATGGGATGTTTGGAGCCAGTTCACTTGTTCTGTCACCCTGGAAGATGTATATTTTTTGATTAAAATCAATCTTAAAGTTTGACAGGTGGGACTAGGAATATGATTCCATTTATATGAAATGTGCAGAATAGGCAAATCTGTAAAGGCAGAAAGATTAGTTGCTGCTGTCAGGCTAGATAGAGGGAGGGGGAAATGGGGAGCGCTTGCTAATGGGTACAGGGTTTCTTTCTGGGGTGATAAAAAATGTTCTGAAATTAGGTAGTGGTGATGGTTGCACATTGAGAATGTATTAAAAATCACTGAGTTGTAACTTTAAGGCAGTGAGTGTTATGGTGTGTGAATTGTATCTCAATAAAGCTGTCATAAAAAAAGATAGGTATTCCTTCCTATCTGAAGGTGAAGATCTTACGAGGATTTTAAGGAAAAAACAGATACAAAGTGCTTAAAGCCCAGTGCCTGGTATAGCAGCTTACCTAGTATGCTGAGGTAGTATGTTACTTGGTTAATGATTGGTACTATTACTCTGCATGAATTATTTAATACTCTGTTTAAATAATCAGTAGGGGGCAACTTTTATTCACTGCTCTTTTTGTACGATATTACCTATAACCCAGTATAGAGTCAATAAATACTTGTTGAATGGATGTTTGTTCATAGGCATGTTTAGCCACATTCCCCGAAGTGGTTGTCTCTTGGCTGTGGTTTCCTTCAGCATTCCTGAATCAGCATCATTGGATCTGACTTTGAGATACTTGTCCAGTAGTAGTAATCCAGTGCTATGGAGCTCTTCACAGCCCACGTTTCAGTGTTGAAGTTGGAGTTAGGAGTTTAGACTCAGCCTGAGGAAGGAAAGGTTTTACCTTAAATTCACAATGAAGGTGGGGACAGTGATTTTTGAGCTTTTTCCCCAGTAACATAATTGTGCTTTATGTCTTTACAAAAACATAACTGGCCTGTCAAGAATGTGGTTCTCGGTGGTTCATTCTCCTCTCCAGTTCTCTGGAGAGTAGAGGACTTCATCTTGGTTTAAAAAAAAAAAAAAAAAAAATCAATTCCTAGAACTTTAACAGGTTTAAACTGATAATTTGTTCCGCTGAACCAACTCATGATTTCCACATACAAGAAATGGTTATTTTAAAATAAGATAGAAGCGTTTTTTTCTCTAATTTTAAAAAATTCATATCCTTTTATGAACTTGGCACTCCACTAATAATAATGAGTTGCTTTTACAACTGTGTCAGCAAGGTGCCATTTATTTATATTGAGGTGCATGAAAAGAAGTAAACCTGCTTGTTATCTAGCATTCTTTCTAGAAGACCAGTGGGAATGTTTTCTTTTGGTCCCTAAGGAATGGTTGTGCTTCCCAGCGCTCCTTTAGTCTTCCATAAACCGTGGACTATGTCATGGATCACGTTTCCTTGTTGTCTGAGACTGTTAGGGAGCTCTGTGTCCACTTTGGGGCTCTCCTCTGGGAAGGTACCAGGACTTCTGGACTCCATCTTTTGTTTCCTGCTTATATCTTCTCTGCTTCACTTATGCTCTTTTGTCTGTGTGTATCTTCAAAAACCACTTTTATAATCCTTTGGGAGACAAATCGGAGACAGGGCTGCTATTATTGAAACTAGTATTTTAAAAATTACCTCCAGAGCTTCTACCTATAACTTTCCCTGCATTCTCACAGGGAAGGATGGGAGAGGAGGCAAAACTGTCAGAAAGGAGTCCGTAAGCTTTTTTTTTTTTTTTTTGCTAGAAGTTGGTGATATGGCAAAGCAGTCCATAGAGAAGGGTCTTTTGGTTCCCGATCATGTGATCACACGCCTCATGATGTCGGAGCTGGAGAGTAGACGCGGCCAGCACTGGCTACTAGACGGTGAGTTGAGCCCGCGGGTAAGCTGGACCTCTGCGGATAGCGGGTTACGCACACTCCCTTAACTTCTTAAGGGAGCGCTGCAAAATACTTTTTCTTCTCAACTTGCAGTCACTTACTTAAGCATCTTCCAATTTGGCAACATGCTAGAATCCCACTGTGGTGAAGCTGTTGTGCTTCTGTGTCTCCAGACCGCCATCCCTAGAGCCACTGACCAGAAGCAAACCATATACAGAATTCCCCTCATTGTTCCAGTTTCAATGGTACTGGTTGTTTCCATCACTAAGTTGTCATAAGTATAACTCATCTTAAATCCAAGGTTCCCATGTTCGTAATAGGCCGCACAAATTAAAACCACGAGTTACCATTTTTTATTCGTCAGGTTAACAGAGATAGAAGATTTGAAAGTCTTTTATTGAGTGTGTAGGAAATAAATACTTTGAGAGTATGTAACGGGCAACCGTTGAAGGGCGGTTGAGCAGTCTTTGTACTTCCTGACTCAGCAGTTCTGTGCCGTCTTTCTTCCTAAAGATGTATCATCAGAGTTGTGTATTTTCAGCATTATTTGTAAACAACAAGACACTGGTAACAACCTAAGTATCCATCATAGGGATGCCTCAAATGTTGATAATGTCTGTTAACCAAATAATGTATACCTCTTCGTGGGCATGGATAGACTTGTAAGGTGCTGTCACGTGAAGATGGCTAGCTGCAGGAGAGTGTATGTCATGTCCTCTGTTTATGTAAACACAGGAGGGTGGTATGATATTATTGTATACACAGATAAATGCATGCATAAGCAATCTTTGAAAGGATATAAAAAATACCTCATATATCCTTTGATACTGTTTGATTTTTTTTTTAAAAAACAGTAATACCTGGACCTGATTTAAAGACTCCGTTTAGTGGTTCCTAAGCTTTTTAGGCGTGTGGGCCCCTAGATGACAGCTGTGATATTTCCCCTAGGAGAGGCGTGCAGACATTCACACATAACATATTGCACAGTTTTATTCTTCATGAAGCTGAAATTAAGAATCTTCTACTTTAAGTTGGCCCATTATTAAAGGAGAAAAAAAAGGGATTGGATGGATTATTTGTCTTGTTCTTAAATAGCAAAATTCCTTGATATGATGAAAATAGAAACTTGATGAACATGCTGTTTCCTAGGAGTGCAGAATGGCAGATAGTGAGATTCATCTGTAAGAATCTTCTTTCCATACAGAGCAGTTGTTTTTAGTTCCCACAAGGCACTCAATTCTATCTTAATTTGGTGAAACTGAAGCTTCAGCAAGTTGGGACAGGTGAAACCTTGGTGTTTGCTAGCCCCAGGGAAGCCAGAGGCATTGTCCTACAGTTAAACTGATTGCCTCTGTTTCTCTTAAAGTCTGGAGCCATGAATGTTCACAATGACTAAAATGGTAGGGGGTAGGTTCTTTATTCTATATCAGTGTTTCTCAAAGTATGTAGTGTGCAGTGTTAGTAATTTCTAGATAAGAAAACGGCCCTTGTGTCAAGTTGAATATTAAAAATGGCTAGCATTTATTGAGTATTTGCTGTGTGCAGGCATTGTTCTGAACATCTGATACTTATTGTTTATTCAGTCCCTACAATAACCATATGAAGTATATACCATTAATCCCCATTTCATAGATGAGAAAACAGAGGCTTTAGGTAACTGCCCAAAGGTAGTAAGTGTCAAAGTTAGACACGTTTTCTTTACTTAACTGTAATATGACAGTGCTGTTTAGCTCTTCACAGAGGGAGACATCATGAGGCATCTTCCGCATTGATTTGATCTTAGAATCCACCCCCTTATTCCCAACCCCCACTGAGACCCTGCAGGATTTGCTCTGTGGAGCGTTCTTTGTGAAAAGTGCTTTTTAACATATATTCCTCACTTTGTAGGTATTCTGAAAAGTTGACTATAACGTGGATCGTATCTTTCTGTAATTCGAATTTTTTTTTTAAAGATTTTATTTATTTATTTGACAGAGAGAGAGCGATCACAAGTAGGCAGAGAGGCAGGCAGAGAGAGGGTTGGAAGCAGGCTCCCCGCTGAGCACGGAGCCTGATGCGGGGCTCAATCCCAGGACCCTGAGACCATGACCTGAGCCGAAGGCAGATGCTTAACCCACTGAGCCACCCAGGCGCCCCTAGAATTTGGATTTTGAAGTTTGGAACTTTGTTCTCATGCGACTGGAGGGAACCAGAAAAGAAAAGCTATTATGGCCTGTGGAGGGTATGCTCTTAGTCGTTAGGCAGTAATGAATGAAGCTCCTGTTCTGTGTCAGAAACTGTTAGGTGCTATTGATACAATATGGATACATTGCTAGGACACTGTCCCCATTCCTCAAGGGGCTTCTATCAGGTGTGTAAAATAGTAGTTACTCATAGCATAATGGAAGCATATATATGTGGTACTCTGCAGACACAGAGAAGAAAATTCTGTTCTAGCAGTGTGGGGAGGGATTGGGACAACTTTATGGAAGAGGAGAAAGAGTAGAGGTTCCACAGGTTGATGAATGGGGTTGGAGGGCAGATACTCTCTGCCGAGGGGCAGGTGAACTGGGGAAGAGAATGATTACGTAGCTTAGTATTTTCCTGGGCCTGTAAGCAGAGGCTGGCAGGGTTGAGAAGTCCCTGAGCGGATGGTGTTTGATTCTGTACAAAGATGTTAGAACTGGAAACTGTTGAAACTTCGAGAAGTTGTTGAGAGTGGTGAGATTTGTGTTTCAGAAAGACTGTTCTGTTAGCCTAGAGGAGGGAGTAGGTGCTGGGACAGGGAGGAGCTGGAGACTAGAAGCCAAGTAAGAGACTTCTGGAATATTTGGACCAAGGGCAGGTTGAAAGCCTGGATTTGAGCAATGGCAGTGGGATGGAAGGGAGAGAATGGATTGAAGGGGAAGAACTGACAGGAGCTCTAATGATTGCGGTTAGCTGCTGCAGCCCTGGTGTTTTCTTTTATTGCCGTCTGATCTTTGAGCTTTTTGTGTTTTTGTATCTTTCTTTCTTTCTTTCTTTCTTTTTGTAAGATTTTATTTATTTACTTGACAGGCAGAGATCACAAGTAGGCAGGCAGAGAGAAAGAGAGAGAGGAGGAAGCAGGCTCCCTACTGAGCAGAGAGCCCAATGTGGGGCTCAATCCCAGGACCCTGGGATCATGACCTGAGCCGAAGGCAGAGGCTTTAACCCACTGAGCCACCCAGGTGCCCCTTTTTGTGTCTTTCTTGGCTGTCATCTTCCCTGCGCTTCTCCAGGCCGAGTTAAATTCTCTACGTACTACACGTGGACTCCCACAAGGTAGTCCTACAATACTCATTCTGTAGGGACCTGTCAGGATGTGTGAGCTTTGATGCTGCCACATCTTGACTGGTTTAAATTCTTTCATTGTGAAGCTTGTCACCTTGTGAAGTAGACTTGGTATAAACAGAAAAATCTGTTTTAAAAAAGGATCATCTATGTGAAACTTCTTTGGCAAGGCGGTTAGTGTCTCATCACCATGAACCCCAGTTGGGTGGCAGACTGCCCGCTTGAGTCCCATCTCTGCCGTTTACTGCTGGTTGGTGACCTTGGGCAAATTCTCTTACCTCGGTGGGCATGTCATTCCTCTTTCTCTAACCAGCGTTAGGAAAGGGTCTGTAAGGATGACGTAAGTGAATATAATGTAATGTCCTTAGAAGAATGCTTGCCATAAAATAAGAGCTCTATAGACAGGATATTTTTTTTTATTATTATTTGTTCCACTTGATATACAGGTCCCGAATATTCTTTTTTTTTTGTAACTACATGAAGTGTCAAGTTCAGAAATAGTTTAAAAAAATACTGTGTGTTTGTGAAGTTGGAAGTCAGTGTCAGTTATGGAATGCTCCCTGTGCTCTGCTTTTGCCGTAACTTTCCTTCTCAAGGCGAAGAAGTGAAGTTCCTCTACATCACAGACCTGTTTTTAGCCAAGTGCGTCAGTATCCTTGCTGATTTCGTTTGTATCTTTCTCCTTGAGGACCCATCTGGTCACTTTTTTCAGTTGTGATTTTCCTTTAAAGCTCTGGAATAAATCCACTTGGCAAAGTGAGGAGTGTTAGGAATGCCTCGTTCTGTGTTCAGCCTTCAACTCCTTATGTTACAGGCCACATGCTCCGCGGAGGACGTGCCTGTTGAGTGTGCTAAAGGTGATTGAATGTGCAAAGGTCAAGAAAGGAATTCTGGATGACAGATGACTCATCATCTTGGTCCATATGTCTGTAGAGAGGCATCTGCAAATGGTGGGTGGAAACAAATAGAGTGGATGCAGGCCAAGGGAAGGCCGGAGGGTGGGGTGGGTGGATGGGGTGGCTGAGTGCTCTGTGGCTTGGTCAACTATGCCTTGCTAAAAATAGTTCCGTACTACCTTAACTTTGCAGTGTACCTTCCATCTGGGGAAGAAGCACTGCTTTATGTGTCGAGATATATATATATACACACACATATACATATACACACACATACATACACACACATACACACACACACACATATGTAGTGGGTATGTGTGTGGGGGGGTTTCTCCTTTTTTTCCTCTTTCCCCCTCTTTCTTTTATTTTTTTTTTATAAATTTTTTGTTTTTTAAGTTTTTTTTTCAGTGTACCAGATATTCATTGTTTATGTACCACACCCAGTGCTCCATGCAATACGTGCCCTCCACAATACCCACTACCAAGCTCACCCAACCTCCCACATCCCACCCCTTCAAAACCCTCAGATTGTTTTTCAGAGTCCATAGTCTCTCATGGTTCATCTCCCCTTCCAATTTCCCCCAACTCCCTTCTCTCCATCTCCCCATGTCCTCCATGCTATTTGTTATGCTCTACAAATAAGTGAAACCATATGATAATTGACTCTCTATTCTTGACTTCTTTCACTCAGCATAATCTCTTCCAGTCCGTCCATATTGATACAAAAGTTGGGTATTCATCCTTTCTGATGGAGGCATAATACTCCACAGTGTATATGGACCACATCTTCCTTAT